TTAGAAAACCAACTTTTTATACAGAAAAATTTCCTACATTTGTAACATCAGAAGTAAGTTGACAATTATTTTCCAGTTTCTGAGTGAGAGCATCATTGCCATTATTAGAATAAAAATTGGACCTGTTCTGCTTCTAACCTGGTTCCTTGGAGGCTCAGAGGCAGATCCAAAGCCCCAGTATAGCCCTAATGGGCTCCTTCCTTTCACATTACTTTTTATTGCCCTTGGTTTTTTGTTGTTGTTTGTTTGTCTGTTTTGTGGAACAGGGGATTAAACTCAGGCCCTTGCGCTTGCCAGGCAAGTGCTTATTCTACTGAGCTATCTCCTTGGCCCTGCTCTTCGTTTTTGTAATTTGTATTTTATTTTCCACATATTGATTTCAGGGATTCTCAACTTCTTGGTTTTAAGAAGTGGAATGTAAGTCTGAAAGATGTGGTTAACATCATGGATTGGAGGTACTGGACCTGTAATCCCAGCACTGGGGAGGCTGAGGCAGGTGACTTGCCTTGTGTTTGAGGGCAGTCTGGGTTACATAGTGAGCTCAGGTCATCCTGAGCTACATAGCAAGACCGTGTCACCCACCTCTATGTTGTTTAAAATTGCAAGAGATAAGTGATATTCACTATCTTTTGGATTCAGTGAAGAAGTGGTATAATCTTGCTTTACAAATGTCTTTAGATTGTATTGCACACACAAGATATATGAAATAATTACAAATGTTGGTATTTCAGTACCTGTATAGCTTTTACAACGTGTTTTAACTATGGGTTAATTACAAATGTTTCTGTAAATTTCACCCACAAAGGAGAAAAAGAAATAGTAAAAACTCAGCAAGAAGTGACACGGAATGTTTGAAGTTAATAGTTGGTCTGTTGTAATGATTGATGGTAATACTGTATGACATTGTCAGATTGCACCAAAAAGATGATTCTAATTCAGTATTTTAAAACCAGTGTCTTAGCAACCCTTAACCTTTTCTCATTTGAGTATGCAGGGAAATACTGAGGCTAAATAAATATTTATGCTTATTTTAAAAATCTTTCTTTTTCTTCTGGCTAAAACAAAATGATACAGAGAAATATTAGAAATTCCTCAGATGAGTTTCAAAATCACTGCATTCAGAGCCTGAATTGCTAAATATCCATTTCAACCAGCTACGTAGAGATACTGATATTTTTAAGAAAGGACTTTTATATAATTTGAAAAGAAGTCTGATAATTCATCTGCAAAACTTTTTTTGAAAAAATAGTCTCTTTTGTGCTGTATTTTGTGTATTTGCTAATAAGCTAACAACAGTATAAAGTTATTCATTTGCATCAGAATATGAAGTCTGATAATTCATCTGCAAAACTTTTTTTTGAAAAAATAATCTTTTGTGCTATATTTTGTATATTTGTCAGTAAGCTAACAAGAGTATAAAGTTACTCATTTGTATCAAAATATGAAAAAATTAATTTTTAACAGTGGACAGTGTTATGTGATCATTAAAATCTAGGTTATTAAAAGTATTGACTAGGGGCTGGCAAGATAGCCCAAGGGTCTAAAGCGCATACTTAAGCAAGCTTAGGCAGGCGCAGGGGACCACAGTTTGATCCCCGACACCACATGCCATGCCAACCTTGCCCTCAGGGTAGGCAGAGCTGGCCAAAGATAAAAAAATAAAATAAATAATTAAAAGTGTTGACTAGTTGTATACTAAGTATAGTTGATTTGCAGTATATTGACTGGTCTGGTCTGTCCTGCCTTTAGTACATATCCATGAGTATCCATCTCAGTGCCAGGGATCACGAAAGGTTATGTGGAAAGAGATATAAAGAGGGCTTGAAGGGAGTCAGCTCACTGATTAGGAAAGAAAAAGTCATGTCAGAGTTTGGTATCTTTTTTCACTTTCCTCTATGAAATTGAAAAAACATTCTTATTGAGTTTTATTTTTTCTCAATACATATTTGCATACATAAAAAATGTTTACATTCTTTTTAAAATTAATTAGCAATGAGACAGTTTCAAAACAGGTTAGTAGGATAGTTATAATAATTAATGCATTGCATATTGTTGTCTTCATAGTAGCTATTCATAATACAAGATACAGATATATCTTGTCTAAACACTATTAGTACAAATCTTCTCACTGAAGAGAAAGTAGCCGTATATCTGTCTTAACTAATTTGCATATACAAATATATATATATATATATATATATTTTTTTTTTACTACAAAATGCTCTTTTATTTATATCCCCCTTTCTTGTTTAGTTTTGTCAGAGATAGGTATTGCATTACCATTCAAATATTGTAGGTGCGTGAATTCAGCAAAATAACCCCATATAGTCCAGCAGTCATAATAGTAGCGGGTTACCTGCAGGACTGGCAATGTCAGAGGTTGTTCACACGAGCCTTTTACAGCTCAGCATATTAATATGGCTTTACTTTTTATACCTTGTGGTTATACTTTCTGGTGGATGGTTAAGACCAAGATAAAGCTGATCTATATAACAAGAAGTGTAACTTTTGTATCTGACAGGGTCATTCAGATCCCTTACATTTCTCACGGGCAGTTCGTGCACATATGTAACATATCTCAGTATCTTTTTCCCCTTTCCTGCTCCTCCATCTCTTGGTCCCCCTCTCCTTTGAAAAGTTTCCTCCTCCCCCTCCATCTCCCCCTCCCTCTCCCCCTCCTCCTCCTCCTCCTTCTCTCCTGTCCCCCTTCCCCTCCTCCCTTTTCCTCTTCATACTAGGGATCTAACTTTCAGGATGTTGCTCTTGCCAGGCATGTGGTTAAGCCGCTGGGCTATATCCCTGGCCGCCTATTTCTTATTTTGTCTATAACTTTGCTCTTTATACTTTGGGCTTCTTATATAAGAGAAACTGTGTGATATTTAAGCTTTTGTGTCTGTTTTTTTTTCACTTAACATTATGGGCTTAAGGTACACCCGTTTTCCTACAAATGACTCAAGCTTACCTTTATGGCAGAACAGTGCTCTAGTGTGTGTAAATCCCACATTTTCTTTATCCTTTGATCTTTATCCTGCTTACGTAGTGTGATGAGTTGTGCTACTGTAAACTTAAGTATGCAGGCCATATATCACTAAAATGTTTTCACCTCTTTTGTGAAGATACCTAGGAGGGGAATAGCTGAGCTAAGCAGAATTCCTAGTATTATGTTTTTGAGGAATCTCCATGCTGATTTCTGTAGTGGTTGACCTGTTTACTTCCCACTTTCAGTCTAGAAGGTCAGTGTTATTATTTCCAAAAGTTAAATATTTAGAGCTACTTGGTAGAAGTTATAAAGCCCAGAACCTTGCTGCTATGAAAACTCCCTACGGAGCAGTGTGCCTTTGTTCATAAGATACAGAATGCTTCTGTGATGATACTGAGATCAGTCTAAAGACATGTGTCTGCCTTCCTCCAGGATAGAAAAGATGGAACTTTCATGGAGGGAATTTCTGTGTAGTATCTAAAGGGCCTGTAAGTAAAAATCTTAAGTACAGTCTAACATTTTTTTAAAATTAAGGAATGTAACAGCAAATAAAATGACCTGAAATACCTGTGACTTTGTCCTCAATGTATCTCACGAATGTTTTCAGATCACTTTAGAGTTTAGATACCACAAAATGGTATTTATAGTTATTAAACAAGAGTTATGTTCAAAATTATAGTTGTCAGAGTCACCACTGGGTCTTGTTATTTAATGTATTTATAGAGAAAAATACATGTCACTGTTTCTAATTTAATTTTTAAAATGTCTTGATAACTTTCTATTCATTTGGCTTTAATAATCTGTTTTACATAGCATTTTTTTAAAGTGCCCTTTTTTCTTTTAAGTAAGAGCGAGTTTTTCAACATATGTCATTGCTTTGCTTTATAAGTCTATATTTTAACTATTCAACTAATTTGAGAAGAAGTGCATAGATTGCACTGGGAATGGCTCATGGCATTGGGAAAGCTAAACTATCCTTGTAAAGCAGTGTTGATAAGCTCTATATAGTTTGAAATTTCAGACTTCTCCCGTGAGTGTGCTTGCTGAATACCTAGTTACCATAGACAAGGTCTTTATCTTTTCTTTTCATGGATATTATATTTTCTTAGCAGAATTAGTGGTTTAATTCATAAGTGTCTGAGCATCTGTGTGTTGGATCATATGTGTAAGAATATGTGTGATGTTCAAAAAAAAAAAGGGGGGGGGCCGGGGAGATGGCTCAGTGGAACAAGTGCTTCCCTGGCTCCCTGGCAAGCACAAGGGCCTGAGTTCAATCCCCAGTTCTGCAAAAAAAAAAAAAAAAAAGAATATGTGTGATGTTGATTCTAATGCATTCCAGATAACTACATATATAATGTGTATGTATGTATGCATATGTGATTGTACATAGGTATGTATCTGTAATTTATCAAACAAAAGCAGCAGAAGGGTGCTGGAGAGCAAGGCTTGGTGAGAAGACAGACCGAGAGCCAAGGCCCCTGTGGCCATCCTCACCTCCACGGCCATCCTTGCCTCCACAGCTACCCAGACACTCTGGCTCTGGGACATCCCTGGAATGGATCCCAAAGCTAACCAAGTTGATGTTCCGCCTTAACAGCCAGGTGGAGCATGAAAACACTTTTTTTTTTTTTTTTTTAGTGTATTTGGTACAGAGTCTCACTGCGCAGCTTAGACTCATAGTGATCCTCCTGTTTTCAGCCTCCCCAGTGCTGGAATTACAGGCCTGCGTCCCCATGTCTAGACTCAATTGCCAGCTCAGTGCACCCAGGGTTGGGGCTGGCATGGCATGGGATACTGGGGGATTGAACTCAGGTCCCTGAGCTTGACAAAGCAGGTGCTTAGTCCACTGAGCTATCTCATCAGCCCCTAAAACATTTTTATATAAGACTATTTTGGGGTGACCTCCAGAAAGTAGATAGGTGGATAAGAATTTCCTATCCTATTGGGAAAAGCTATTCATTTGCCTTAATAATCTGTTTTACGTAGTGTTTTTAAAGTGCACTTTCCTTTTTCTTTTAAGAATCCTGATGCAGCCCATCCGAAAGAAGCAACTCCTACATCTGCTTTTGCTGGTATTCGGCCAGCACGAGTTGTATCTTCAACATCTGAAGAAGAAGAAGCATTCACTGAGAAATTCCTTAAGATTAACTGCAAATACATCACCAGTGGCAAGGTAACGAGTGAAACTGTATAGAAAACTCGTAAGCATGCCTTAGTCACTGTTAACAATCAGACACTTTGACATTTATCTTTTGAATCATCAGTGCCTCGACATTTACACAATGTATTGGTGATCACCATTAGTTTGAGTTCGTACAGACTTCACTCATAACCGAAGAGTGATGGTCTTTTGCAGTTGTAAAACGCAGCTGGGTGTCAGCAAGTTCAGTGTAATAAGGCACAGGTAATGATTCCTGCTGGAATATTTGAAATAGCATATAAAAGAGACAACTTCTGGGTGATGTTTGGAATAACTTCCAAACAGCATAATACTAAAAAGGAAGATAACTATTTATTAAGTACCTACTAGATGCCAGAAACAATTTGAAGTATATTAGTTGATTTGTCAACTCAAAATAATCTTATGGAATAGGTACTTATTTCTTTTCACAGGAAAAAAGAAGTCCATGAAGTTGACTAGGTCAAAAGATTTTTATGATGGTCAGAATTCAGACCTGATTTGAATGTGTTTATCTACTGTACGTGGCTGCTTTTCTAAGCAAAATCTTTCACTTTGCAGAGGAAATGCTGTAAATGCTAAATTGAAAAATAAATTCCATGTTTGACTTAGAAAGTGACTGTAACATTGCGGAGATTTAGCAGTCATACATGACAACCATGACTTTATAGTTATAATTTATAAGTTACTTTTAAAATACAAGTATTCAGTGCTATAGTTGTTCCCTGAGTGATGTTTCAGCTGCATTCCAAAATTTTGATATGTCATATTTTCGTTCACTTCAAAATATTTTTGTTCACTTCAAAATATTTTCTGTTGATTTCTTTTTCTTTGTCCCATGGAGTATTTTGCAGGGTTTTAGTTACTTTCCAGTATTTGGAAATTTTCCAGATATCTTTGTTACTGATTTCTGATTTAATTCCATGTGCTCAGAGAAAGCGCTAGTGCTTGAAGGCCTGAGCTTTTGTGACCTGCTTGGTCCGGAATGTGGTGCGCCCTCAGGAATGGTACTGGGGTACCTGAAGAGAATGTGTGTTCTGCTGTTGGGTGTGGCATATATTTCAGATATCAGCACAGTCCAGTTGGGCGACAGTGGTGTTCCATACCTATACTGATTTTTTATTTCTTTTGTCAATTACACAAAAATGCAAGAACATGCTACGATTTTGTACTTGTCTATTTTCTTCTTAAATTCTATCAGTTTTTGTTTTGTGTATTTTAACTCTGATATTAGGTGTAAAAATCTTGGAACAGTGATATGTTCTCTTGATAAACTTGTCTGTCCTTGTGAAAAACTCTTTATTCTTGTTAATCTTGTTAGTTGTGGAATCCATTTGGGAAGAACTAGTCTAGTCATGTCACCTTCTTTTTGGTAGGTATTCACATTTTTTCCTTCTGTTTCCACTCTTTGTTTTTAGTCTGTCTTTATAAAAATCAGAGTCTTATAGGTAGCATGTAGTTGAATCTTGCTTTCCTTGGTAATCTCTGCCTTTAGTTTAACGTGATTAGTGATTTGTTTAGATTTAAATTTGCTATCTGGCCTTTTCTCTTTGTGTCCTATCTGTTTTGTTTTGTGTTTTTTGCATTGAGGTTTTTATATTATTTATTTATTTATTTGCATTTCGTCTCTTGTTTTCATTTATTACCCTTTTTTTTTAAATATACATTTACTTGAGAGACAGTATGGCAGTAATTGATATGTCATGACAAGCAGTACATAATTAGAAGACCAGAATGACAGGCATTCCAAGTGTAACCCTACCATTACACATTGCTTTCTTCAGTGCAGTTGCTTAGTTCACAGGAGTCAGCATATATAGTTAGTCAGGATGAGAATCCTGTCAATTAACTGCTAGTTTCCAAAACATGCTGAAGATGCTCAGGACCATTGCCTTACCCATCTTGTGCATATAAATGTATGACTTTGCCCCTGTCATATTTCCTAGCTTTTCTTCTTGCCCTCTCTTCATTTTTTTCCCCATAATTTTATTGAGGAACAATTAGGAATGAGACAGTTTCAAACCAAATTGATGGGACAGTTTCAATAATTAACACATTGCATGCATTCTTCCTAGTGATTATTTGCTGTACTAGATGCGGACATGATATCCTGTTTACAAACACTATTAGAACAAATCCCTCTATTCATTAAGAGAATGTAACTATATATCCTAACCATTTGAATACACAGATACAAAATGGACATTCAACTGTATACCCTTTTTTCTTTAGTTCCCTTATTTGAGTATTATAGGTGTGTTAACTCAGCAAAATATTCTAAAAGAGTCCAGTAGTCCATAATAGTATTGAGTCTTCCGCTTGACTGGCGATGTCAGAAATTGTTGACCTGAGTCCCCTATAGCTCAACATAACAGCATGGCTTTACTTCTTATACTTTATTTTTATACTTTTCTGCTGGATGGTTAAGACCAAGATAAAGCAAGACCTATGCAACCACAGTTGTAGCTTTTG